CATGCATAGATTTTACTGTACTGTAAATTATTGATCAGAGGCACGGAAATTGTTAATTTGCAGTTTTCAAGGGCACTATGTACAGCTTTGGAAGTCACCAAACTTTGGTTGCCATTTTCTTTCAAATTTAACCTCTGACATCAGGTGACCCCCAACTCCTTTAATTGCAATAACCTTGACTTTTGTTAAAATAATAATTACTTTCATCAAAAGCAAGGCAAATGAGCAGGCTGTAAGAAATTGTTTTAACTGTTAAAAGGGCCCTACATTAACACACATACTGTGTGCTTGAATTCAAAATGTTTTTAGACAATGCGAGAGACATACTCGAATAGAAGAGCGCACAAAAAACCCTAAGGCGTCCAGTATCTCTCTCAAGCTTTACTTTTGAGTAATGTGCATGGTGTCTATGATAGTAGAATGAGCCATTTGGAATATATTGTTACCAGAATTGTCAAGTATACTGACAAGATTATTTTTGAAGTCATGATTTCTGTGTAATTCATAGCTAAGAGAATTTTGAGCATCTCATCAAAGAGCGTGATGGTTACTTTGTGGATTCTTTCGGCAACTGAAAAGCATTTTTATCTGCTTGGATGCTTTATATTTGTTGTGAACGAAGTCATTTCAAGTTCAAATTCTTTTGCTTTGCAACATTTGTCTTTCTCGTGTTAATAGCCTTCCTGCCACATGTTCATCTTCAGGCAATACTTTCGCAAGCTGAAGATGTTCCATGATTTGGAGCTCTTGTGAATAGGTGTCCATGCTGTTAGTACTTTTCATAGCTTAAAAAGACTATTGTCCACATCTAAATTAGATGTGGACATCAGAATGTTGGTTTTACTTGATTAAATAAGGATTTGTACGGGGGTGTTGTATAATAATATATAATTGATTGTTTGAATAATGTGGTGATCAGACCTATTACAATGACATACAATGTCATTGTTACAGGAGGTCCGTCAGTGTTTACACTAATTCATTGTTTCATTTTTGTGAGTCTGTAGTTAGTGATACTGCTGTTCACCCACGTAAGATGCCTGTTTTTTTTTCCTTGCATATCATGGTTTTTATATATATGAAGCTTTTATTTTACAGGAACTAGGATTGTTTACGACAGGTCCCGTCTTATGCAACTAAGAAATTCTCCCTTGGCAAGAAGTCCTCCACCCAATATGGCCAAAATTCCCGGTATCACTGATTTTGAACCAGAATCTAGTGAAAAATCTGAGGCTAAGGATAAAGAAAATGGACCCAAAGAGGACTCCAAAGACGGTGAATAACTTTCTGTGCTTTGCTTTTTTGTACTTCTGTGAATTTGTTTATTTTTATACTGTCTTGACCTTTGTTTTTATTGGAGATTCTGTACACTTTGTCATAACCTCAATTTTGTTGATTGATATCAAGTTTTGATGCTTAATGTTCTTTTACACCATAGCATGATTATAAGCGAATTCAGTAGTCTCTGCTTAAGATCCCACCGCTTACGACCCCAGTTCGCTTAAGATCCCACTGATTTAAGAAAACAGAATTTTTACTATACAAAAGTCACCCCTAAGATCCCGCTCTGATTCACTCTGAAGGTCTACATTCGGCTAAGATCTTGCATTTCGGATCATAATTTGCGGGACAAAAACTGCGGGCGGGCACAGCTGATCAACCAAGAGTGAAAAGTTTGAGATCAATAAACTGTCCGTCGCGTCAAAGATCAGCCACTGTCGTGAATATGATCACATACACGTAAAACTCGATGAAGCGATTCAATGTTTGCCCCAAACGGGATCACACCCGGGTGTGAACTGACAAACATGTTTGTTTTCCCCTCGCATCGCACTCACACCTGAGCTCTCCCCCCTACACTTACATCACTCGCTGGGTGGGTAGGGCCTACAGGTTCCCTCCAGGCGGGATCACATGATTGAACTGTGAACTCTTCCTCGACCATTGCTACAGTTGTCTCTTCTCCCGAGTTTGCGAGACAGACTGAAATTTAATTGGTGGGTTCACAACGTAATGGTATGTAATGACAAAGGCTTTGGGGGGAGCTATACATTTTCGACCGGTAAAGGGGAGGGGCTACTGGATAAGCGTACATCTTGAGACTCATGATAGGATAATAAGTGAAAATGGCATACCTCATGCCACTGTGCAGTGTGATAGGTTATCATGGTTAACCACTCTTTGCTCGCCATATGTCATAAACCCACCAATGGGTCACGTCAGTTCATTTTAGAGTGGAGGGAGACCATTTTACCGATTTTGAGCCTTAACATGGGTCACCATAGATTCTTCCCTGGGTTCGTCGGTTAAGACCTCGCATTTCTTTGCTCCTGAGCATCGGGATCTTAGGCGTACTGTTCATGAAAAGATGGAGGAACTGTTAATGTGGTTTCGGTGGTTAGAGGTTGGTGAATTCTGAAAGATTTGAACCCCCCCCCCCAAAAAAAGACAACAAAAAAATTTTTTTAATTGAAATGTGTCATGTGGCTATAGAAATGTATTATATCAACAACACATATTAAGTTAACAAATATATAAATAAGTATATTTTCTATAAGGAGTACAAAACAATACTACATCACACATACATAGTGAAATGCTCAGGTTCAGGCCAGGCTCATATATAGATACAGTAGTCTCTGCCTAAGATCCCACGGCTTATAATCCTGGTTCGCTTAAAGATCCTGCTGCTTTATGAAAACAAAATTTTTACTGTACAAAAGTCACCCCTAAGATCCCACTCTGAAGCTTTACATTCAGCTAAGATCCAGCATTTCAGACCCTAATTTACGGAACAAAAACCAGGACGGGCTCAGCTGATCAACCAAGAGGTAAAAGTTAGATCATTGAACTGCCCATCGCGTCAAAGATCAGCCACTCTCATGAATGTGATCACATGGCATTCTAAAAGTGGATGAAATGGTACAATATTTGGCCCTGACAGGAACGATGCTTTTGTTTTTCCCACACTTCGCACTGGCGTCTGAGCTCTGCGCATAAACTTACATTACCTCACTCCAGGTGGGATCACATTAACTATGAGCTCTTCCCTGACTTGTCTCTACTCCGAAATTTGCGAGAGAGACTGAATTTTAATATCTTATGACCTTATGCAGTTGCTAGCCCTGTAAAACTTCTACTAAAACAAAAAACTAATAGGTGTGGTCACAATGAAATGGTGTGTAATGACAATCACAAAGGCGGGGAAACTTGGTCTGAGATGGAAAGATATCTATTTTCGATCCGTAAAGGGGAGGGGCAACTGGATAGACACAGCTCTTGAGACTCGTAATAGGATAAGGACTTTAATAAGTGAAAATGGCATGCCTCGTGCCACTGTGGTTGGTCATCAAGGTTGACCACTCTTTGCTCGCTATATATGATATGTCATAAACCTTGCCGGGGGTCATGTCAGTTCATTTTAAAGTGAAGGAGACCCTTTTACCAGTTGTAGGCCTTAACATAGGTCACTGTAGATTCTTCCCTTACTGCGTTGGCTGAGATCTTAATTGCTTAAGATCTCGCATTTTCCTTACCTCTGAGCACTGGGATCTTAGGCGGAGATTACTGCTCTGAGATTGATGGGAAAAAAAATTGTGTAGGAATAGCTCATAGTTATCTGATTTGAGTAATGAAACTTAAATGGAGAAAATGAAATTTGTCACACATGTAAAATTAACTTTTCTGGATGATGCCACTTTAGGTCAGATGTTATTGACATGTTAATCAATTTGTTTAAATATTTACTTGATATTAGGATCACAAATAAGGTTTATGAAATCTTAATGGGAATTTTATGCATTTTGTACTCGTTTTTTTAATATTTCCTATTCTCATTCTCAATTTTCTTTATTTATCTTGTAAAATAAAGTATTTAGAGTTTAACTGTTTGTTAAATGTATGAGTAAGGTTATAAAGAGCGGTGGGCTTTCCGGCTTAAAATCTTCAGTAGACTAAGATCCCTGCAATATCTTTACTCAAGAATTTTTCATTTTCTTTATAAATCTTAAGTTTGTCAAAGTACTATAATTATGGGACACGATATACAGTATAACACGGTTTGCCCGAATTCGTCGGAACCCGCCTCGGTAGTTCAAGGGATTCGTAGTTCAAGGGATACGTGAACAGTGTTATGGCTGTGTCAGAGAATCAAGGAAGCAACAAAGATTGCCACTCTAAGGGCAAAACAGTAGATCGTGTGATGCACATTCCCTCCTCTCACCCACTCCACACAAGCAGCAAGATAATGTTTTGGCACACGTGTCGAGCAGCATGCTAAAAATTGCACAGCTATCTGCTTCTGTGGAAGGTGGTATTTCACCTGCTTTGACTTTTTCCATTTTTAATATTATTATTATTATTTTGTCTCATGTGCAAATCAAAGGACATTGTTGACTTAAGACCTCTATGGGCGGCGTAATTAGTTTGACGCATTGCTTAATTTTTGTACAAAGATAAAGAAGAAAAAATAAAAAATGGACCGCAGGCACAGTTCGACGGATACATGGTTTCAAGTCTTCTGTGTTCGACCTATCCGTGTTACATTGTAATTTGAGTATGTTTTATCCTGGATAAGATATTTGTTTGACTATGGAGGGCTTGACCCTGGCTTGAATCAGATTTTTAAAAATATAACTTGTAAGGAAAGTTAACATGGTTTGCACTTCATTCATTCAGTAGAAGTATGGATGCAGTTTATTTCTAGTTGTGGTTTAAAACACACACCCTGCTTTAATATCATAGCCCTGAAAGCAGAACATAGTTTAAATATATATCGTTTTCATAAAGTCCCCTGCTTTTTTTCAAATTGATTCTGCAACGAATGGGTCCTAGTAGAAGTAGTAGAAATCCTTTTACTTTACTTTTAGTGGGGTTTTTTTGTTTTGTTGTTTTGAAAAATCGAGAAATTTCAACAGAGAAGACAACTTTTGCTCTTGTTATTTCAGAATCTAAGTTTGGTCACGACGAGCACCCACAGTTCGAGATGGACATCTGAAACCCACAATGGTTCTGGGTCCTGTTGTCTTTCCATCTATCGCTGTGTTAGTCCTCATGATGCAAGCCAATCAAAAAGCACAGGAGCTGTCCAATGCTTTGCTGTTGTGTTGTGCTGTTAAAGGCCGGTGTATTAATGAATGTATTTGTCCAGATGTGAACTCTGTGCTCCCACCCTGTCGTGGTGGTGTGCATGACGCATGAGGAGCTAAGGTAGAGCGGGGTAACCATTGAAGAGGAGGGTTCCTGTGCGATGGACACAGGAAGTGATAGTACTATTTCTACTACTTCTTTTACTACTACTAATTTGAGTGAAAAAAAAAGTCCAGTTATGTGTGACTCATGCATATGTTGCTGAGTATATGTGTATGTTGTGTGTGTTGGCATGGGTCGACTGCTTAAAAAAAAAAAGATATTTGTTTTGTCTTTATTTTTTATTTTTAATGGTCCTGAATTCATGTAGATTAATGGTTAAGACTCACGGAAGAAAAGAAAAAAGGATGATTTCTTGTCTTTTTCTTCTAGTTTTTCTTTTGAAATCAGAATACCATCGTTTAAATTGTTTTTCTTGAACTTTGTCAAATGAAACAAGTTTTCCCTTGTTTGAAACGATACACTAATGTACATTTAAATTTGAATGGTCATTTCTCCTTTAATTTACAAGTTGTTGGTGTCTGTGGTACTTTTTAAGATAAGGCATGTCAGAAAGCTTTAATTTTTCATGCTTTCTAGACATTTTTTTGCTTTGAGGTGAGGGCATTGTATAGTGAATATTAAGTTTAAGTCTTTTCGATGATAAAATTAAAAACAAGATTTACTATTGTACAAATTACAGCAGAATTTTTAAAAAAATTATATAAATTCATTGATAATTCCTTTGATTTTGGTTGTGTGGAGATTAAAAGGTTCTGCTCAAGGTGCATGAATTTGTTTGCTTCAGTTGTTTCTGTGCTCACTCCACCAACGCTCTTGTCCCAATGTCCATAATGCTTCCTACTAATGTAGATTTGTGCTGAATTTTCTTTATTTGAAACTAGTGCCTTCAGAATGATATTTGCCACAGTTTTAAAATTGAAACGTATGACATATGTTACGAGATTGATTATTCCTCTTTACTGAATGATTAAGAAGAATTTTCTGTTTCTGTGTACATATCCTGTTATTGTATTTATTCACTGAAATGCCATTCCTGTAATAGAATAGGGTAGGTCTAGCATTAGAAATTTTCCCACACTCTTCCTGTAAGAAAGACCTATGCTGACATAAGTCAGATGGACAGGTGATTTTGAACATTGCCTCTGACAGATGGACAGGTGATTTTGAACATTGCCTCTGAGAGTTAACTTTATTTCAGTAATTCAGTTCTGTGAGAATGAATGCCTCTTGCAAAAAAGAATAAAGAAAAAGAATAAGAATATGAAAGAGAATCTCAAGGTATAAGCTGAAAACGATCCTACTGTTTGTATGACGAGTATTTTTAAATTTTTTACTTAAGATATTTCCCTGATTATTTCTGATGCACTTTAAAATGTCTCAGCAGTTCAAAGTGATTGAGTCAGGAGTATTTTCAAACTGCCTATGTTAAGGCTCAGCAGTGCATTAAAAAATTGTGAAAGAATTATTCATAGTAGTATGTAAGTCAAGGTGAAGACCTGACTTTTTATCTTTCACTGTATTTTTCTTCCCTATATTTTCCTTCAGTAATTCTGTCTTTAGTATCTAAGGTAACAAGCAGCATTTTATGGCTGATTGCAGTTTCTTATGCAGAAATCAAGATGATGTACTTTTTTATCGTTACAATGGCACTAGTTCATTCATTATGTTTAAAGCCCAGAGTAATTATGCTGTAACTGTCCTTCACTGTTTCCAAGACCTGTTCAGTGGATAAATATTGATCAACTAAACAGCCAGAAGTCTACTGACCAGATGTTATTTTAGTCGTAAGGGAACTGTCAGTATTGAAATTCAGCTGTGACTGAAACAGAACTTTGGGGAGTTTTCGCTTTCAGTTATTTTTAAATGCCTAAAAAACAATAATTTACAATGCTTATATTGTATAGTACTATCTTACAGATGTGTTGGCTTTTCAACTAAGGAGGCATGCCACTTTCATGGCCTAGCAGCAGTATTTTTCCTTTAAATTAAATCTTCTGATATAAAAGTTCACTTCATGTTTTCTCAGTCCTTTCAGTCCCAAAGCCTGGTTTTTTTTTGCTTGTCACTTGGTGGTGCTTTTATTTTCTCTTTTTTTTTGGGGGGGGGGGGAGGGGGGGCTTTTTTCTCAGTACATATCTTGTCATTACTTAAGTTTTTTTTCCAGTGTCTCTCATGGCATACTTTTCATGACTTTTCATGAGATGATTTGTAGCTGTTGTAAGCGTCAGGAGTTAAAACAATTTGTTCAGGTTTACTCTTGAAAAAATTGTGAATTTCAGGACTGCATTTATAGTTTTGGTGAAAGTGTTACATAGAGTAACTATTTTAAGAGCTGGGAAAGTCCTGCAAACTAGAGGGCATTGATTTTACTGGAATGTACAAGACAATAATTTTTTTTTCGAACTGTGAATGTACATAAACACCTAGATCACTGGGTCTATATACATAACAATTGTTAAAGGAAACCTGTTTCTGTATCATTTTCTGTAATAAGTAGACATTTTCGGATTGCAAACTCTTTCCCATTTTAATTAGCTTTCTTATATATGTTTTTGCCAAATCTTTTACAATGTTCTGTTTTTCATTTATTAAGGGTAGAATGTTTTCTGTACCATCCTTTTGGCAACTGTATCATGTTACTCACCTCAGCTCAGAAAGTATGTCCTCTAAGCTTATCTAGCTAAAAGAAAATGCATATTACTGTTTTCATGTTGGCTGCCATATTATATTGTTCTTTGTGAAGACTTGAATATGTGTGTTGAGTTGTTTTCACAGGGTCACTGTGATGCTGCTGTGAGTGTTCATGCTTTAGACTGTTTACATAAATATCTGTTATCTTGATTTGTAATGTTTTTGAAATTGTTTATGACCATATTTCTGTTCTCATTTGTTTTCTTATAACCAAAGAAGTTTTGGGTTATAGATTTTTTGTTTTAGTTTTTGGATAATTAGACATCTGAGCTGTGAAAACAATCGTTTTGTTAATTGTATTCTTCTTTCCATGCATAAGTTCAACGTGGACACTGTTGAAAAGCAAGAAATCCATGGTATTTTTGAAGATTTTACTGTCAATTTTTCTGTCTTTTATAGTTAAAGTCTATCATATGTTGTTTGCTGTTTTTTGTGAATTTGCAGTAGTGTTATGTGTGTTCAGGGTGGAACGCGTCTTCAACTCCACTTAGGTAGGATGAATTTCTAGTTTTACAAGTTTCTACTGGTTTGGTTTTTGTAATTACTGAGTGGCTGTGAATCATTTGGAAATTTCTGTAATACTGATAGGATTGGAATGCTGAGCACTGCTCCCCTGTGGTTTGTTGTTACAAATTTTGACTTGTGTACCTTGCGTTTGATTACATCTATGTCAGTCTTGAATATACTGCTGGTTGAAGAAACGTGCGGTGAAGAGACAGCATGCACCTTTCATGTGCTCTTATTGGAAAACAGTGAAATGCTTTGAAGGTAACATTGGCTGGTTCTGTCATGGTTTTTGGCATTCGTAGGTAGTTCTTCACTCTATTAAAAATTGAATTTAGTTTTGAAGTCTCTAACTTTAAACCAGCCTTTAAGAGGTACTTAATGATGATATTGAACACATTCATTATATTGTGTTGTCCACTTTTGGAGCATATATGGGCAAGTGTGTATTTAGTTTTGTTTCTAATTTTCAGAACTGTTTTGTCTCATCTTACCTTATACTGGAAATACATCAACAAAATGGAAATACCACAGGAATGTTGGAGATGATAATTTTAATTTGATCAGTAGTGTACTGGATGATGTACCTAGTGTGTCCTTTGACATTTAATTTTCTGAAGTCATTTGGATAAAATTAGAAATTTCTGTGCAGTGTGGGGGGTACACTAACACTATAGTTACCAGGCATATTAGGACAACCATTTGAGGCAGCTTTGAGTGTTTTTCAACTTGTCCTTTTGGGTTTTAATTGGTTTGTTTTTTGGTCCAGACACTCCAGCTTTAGTGGTCAGGAAATGTTTAATGTATGTTTTAGTGTTTATAAGCTTTTCTAGTGTTCCTATCTGGAAAAAAAATTTCCTTGTCCTTTGTCAAAAGATGAAAGATTGTCCGAGTTGGTTTGGTTTTAGTTCTTGATACCCATTGTCTTTTTTGTCGTACTGAAGCTTTAATTCTCTGGTTTTATCTTTTTCTATCTGTTTAGTTTAATCCGTTCAGCATTATTATAGTGATGCAGGGGTATCATTTTTCAGGCATTGTTTCTTTGATTGATGTCCTTGAAACTTCCATCCTCTTGGTGTTGCTTCTATTATTTTTGAGTGGGCTTGGTTTTTGGGTGCCTCTGTCATCTGGGATAATGCACTACTTTAATAAATTGTCCCCTCTTTTTACACTCCCCATTTCAGAGGCAGCGGTGATTTGTATTGTTTGAAAAATAATAATACAAAAGTAGTATTTGTATAGCATCTGTTGCTGCTCAACAGCAAGTTTTATGGGCTTAACAATCTTTACTGAGGTCTGATGTCTTACAGCGCCGTCTGAGATTCATCAAATGTCTACATTTGGCAGCATTTCATGGCTACTGTAGATGATTAAAAAGTTGTTGAAAACTAACCTCTATTTTGAGTTGGTTAGGACTTTTCTGTTTGTATTTACTCTCTTGTAACCATCAGTTATAATTCTGTTACTTTTGTGAGAAAGTTTGTAAAGGGAATTCTTTCGTCTGAAAACGTTTTGTGCTTTCAGGAGTACCACACAGAGGACTACTCACACTGAAATTGTGCCATCTTATGATTTTTGATTTATGTATTCAAACCTTTGAATTTGAATCAAAATTGTTTTGAAATGATGTGTTTTGAACTTCATTGTAATTTTTTTGGTAAACTATTCAGTCTTGTTTTTTAACTTGTTGTCGGCTTTTTGAGGGAAGAAAAGTCTTTTTAAGCCTGACAGATCGCCATGGAGCAGGTTCTGGGAAAAAAATGAATACATCTAGGGTAAGTGGGTGGTTGGCAGGTGCTCTGGTGTGGTTTGCTTCTTCTTTCCTTTCAAACATCTGTCGTCATTATCTCCCCTCCTTATTTTTTAAAGTTTGTTACTCTCTTGTAACATGGTATCTATAATCTTCGGCACGTTTATGACCCTATTGTGTTGCAAGTTCTGTAAAACACTTACTAAAACAAAACATCTAGAGTAAGTGGGGCTTAAAGAAAAGATGTAGCGAGTAGAAATAAAGAAAAGCGAAAATTGAGAAATAGAAATGGTAGCTATTCAAATATATCCTAAATGGTAGAATAAGGGTGCATTAGACCCATACTCTTTACTTTACTATCCTATTCTTGTTAAGAACATTGTTACAGTGTATTCTTTCCATTTATATTGTTTTCCTTGTAGTGCAGCCTGGTTCATGCCCTTGTTTTGTGTGCTACAAATAAGCTACTATTAAATGATTTTGTTGACAATTTTTGTTCTTGTATCTCCTTTTTGGAACCTTTTGTTAGATACACAGTGCTTGTAAATTTCTTTTTTGTTTTGTTCTGGAACTATTTTGAGATCCTAATTTTAATTATAAGTGTTCTTGAGTTTCTACTTTTAAAAAATGAAGTTAATCTTACAAATTTTGCATAATAAATCCCAATGTATAGGTGAGCATTGTTAACCAATATCTTCATGAAAGTTTCAAGGGAAAGTTTACTTGGTTGAGACTGAGTAGAGACTTGCAAGTCAGGTACTTGAGTAAGAACAGTTTGTCAATTCCGTTCTGTAGTAATCTCCCTGTATTGTGTTCCTGTCCAGTGATAGCCACAGGAGAGGAGTGCTTTGGTTTCACCAAGAGCTTCTTTGTAATTATTTTATATTTACAACAGGCATGTGGTTTTCATGGTCCCCTAAGTTTGTGTTTTAATGTGTATTGATAAGCTCTTAAATTCAGCACTCAGTATTAATGGTTCACTTCTTGCCTCACCTGTCTCTGCATACAAAGTTGGGAGTGGTCTTTGACAGTGACAACCTGTTTGACAAAATGATTCTATACACATATGCATCTCTCTATTTTTGTTTTTACTGGGCCTTTATCTTTGAACTGTTAAAAATGATTATGGTTTTGTTTATTCTTTTACTCAACAAATTTGAACAGTCCGGCAATTGTTGTCTTGATTCTGTACTTCTGTTTCAAAGATGTTACTTCATGTACAGTGTGTAAGAGCTCCTTCAGTATTGTGTCTTCTTTATAAATACGGCATGGTTACACGGATAACAGCTGTTACGTCATAGAGTGCATGTTGAATACAACACCTGTCTTGTGTTCTAGAAAGGCACAATGACGTTCCCTATGCAGCATAAAAACACTATGAGATAGAGAAGTATTGAAGGGTTTCAATCCCTCATAGAAACTTCCAGGCAGCATGCACTGAAATGTGTGCTCTGTGTATTAATCAGTGCTTCACATCTTCCGCTGATGATACCGTTTTGCAGATGACAAAATATTGTTCCCTGAAATCATTTTACCATGGTTTATATTTTATGTTAATGTGTTAAAGTTGAGATGATGTTCTTTCTTCCAAGAAGTCAGATCTGTTTTCGTTGCCAACTTTAAGCTGTTGCTGGAACGTCCACTTTTATATTTTTTGTTATCTTTTTTTTTTTGGAGTGAAAGTTAGATTATTTTTGCCCAATAACTTTATAAGAAAGCAATACCTCTGTTTTTGCCTATTTCATAATGTCAGTAATTCTGTCACTGTTAAGCCATTGTTTCATTTCTTTCTTCTTCTTTTGTTCTGTTTTGAGGTGTTTTTTTTCGAATTGCCATCGCATTATATTCTGCTTACTCTTGTTCAACTCGATTTACTTAAATGATTTTCCTTCTTTTTCGTATAGCTGTTTACCTCTCTGATTTGCAGTTGGGATGTGCAGATGGTCAAACGAATGTCTGCCTTTGATTAGGCCATTTGTCAGTTCCATTTAGAATTTAGGGTATATAATGTTTTATCTTCTGTTTGTCCACAAAGCTATGCTTTGAGAGCACATACATGTAAATGTTCTGCTGGATTTGACGTTATTTGCAAAGCAAAGCCTGGAAAAGTATCAAACCTTTTCATTGGCATTGTAATTCCATTGGCATTGTGTGTTCAGCAGTGCAATCAAAGACTATTTTTATTTTGTTCTGGTAGTCCAGCCGTTTGAAGTAGGTCGCTGAGGAGAGATAGAAGGGAGATCTTGTGTTGTTGTGAAAGAAATTGTTAGCATGCTTGTCCTTGTACTGAGTTGGCTTGAGCTGTGTGTTTCTGCAGCCAACTGTATTTGTGTATCTGTCTGAGTGTGGGCATAGGACTGTCTATATATACATTCAGTAACATTTTCATTTTTGCTTCCACTTT